GAGCAACAGATGATGTCCTTACTGGAATTGTGCAAGGCAGCTGAACCCTTTCAGGAATAGTTGAACATGCGAAACACTTGTGATGCTCTTTTTTTTTTTCAATATTAAAATTAACAAAGCACAGCAGAGCTTATCCTTATTTTTTTTCAATCTCCTTCTGAGATTTTTCCTTTTGAGGGGACAGGGGACAACTTAGTCCTTCCAACGCTAACTACACCTAGAGGAGAGAAAGCATGAGAGCTGCGAATTTGAAGCCTTTCATTCTTTATTGACATGATCTTGGAAGGAAGACAGGTTCTCCCCATGGCGCTTCATTAGAATAAGCGTTTCATATGCTTATCGGTACAGCAAGTAGTGCTGTTTGACAGCAGCGAAGAGTCAGCCGTTGCCTTGGAGCCCTACATGCTCATTTCCCTGCTTCCGAAACACTGTATTTTGCACACTGTGCGTTCAAAAATGTTCCTTTCCACCAGCTTGAAAGAAGCTGAAAACTGCTTTGGCAGACACCTTTCCTGGCACGATTCAAGGTGCGGATTCAAGACGGTTGTGTCCGGTCTGAGTTGCTGAGATCCTCGTCCTGCCGAGCTTTGCTAGCGCCTGCTGGGCCAGGGGGTGAGTGAGTTCTGGGTTGATTTTCTCCTCGTTAAGCTCTTCGAGTTGCTTCAGGTGAGAAATCAGGCAGGGACCAGTGCTGATAAAGGGGAAGGTGTGAAAGGGCCGAGAGGAAAAGAAAGGTGAGATAAGGAATCAGAGGGACCGAAACTGTGGGGCTGCGCAGCTGGGGAGCATCCACGTGCTCCCTGCTGATGGGGATGCCCAAGCTTGAATTTATGCAGGAAATCTTCAGATTTCAGTTAAATAACTGCTCCGTCTGGTGTTGCCCGGGGTGTACAGAGTAAGGATGGGAGCTTGGTGGAGCTTTGGGGAGCGGCTGGAGTGAATTCGGTGGGGAGATGAACCAAGGGTGATGGCAAAGGGGTCCTGCTGCTCAGTCTGCTCTGCTTCCAGGTGCCTGGAAGAAGTGGTATCGGCAGGTTTTGGTGCGTAAATAGACACGGGAAGCTCGCTTTCATTTGTTCTGGTGAAATCCTTTGTGGCAGCTTTATTGCTTCTAGATTAGATAACTGATCTCGGCAAAGTTAGACCTTCTGGCCATCTGAGGGGAAGCCGGGCACACAAGGTTTCACAAGGCAGACGATGTCTATGGTGGCTTCTGTAGCCTCCCGGTTCTGGCCTTTTTTTTTCAGCAGGACATGGAGAATCTCATCTGATCGTAGTCATTAAGCCTTGCATCTCTTAGTGCTTGTTGGGTAACGGCATCTTTCCTAAATACCCTGTTTCATGTGAGGGTTTTGTTGCCAGCTGCATGGGGACAGAAACACAAATGTGAGGTCGCTCCAAAACTTTGTAAGAGAGCTTGAGTTAAAATATGCTTGTTTTCTCGTATTTTGCATTTGGGCAGGGAGGGAAGGAGGGCTGGGCTGGGAAACAGCAGAATTACATGTCTGGTGAAATGTGCTTTTAGAGACAAGTGTCATGTAACAACCTAAACCTGAACTGGGTGGTGAGGGAATGGACATGCAACCTTGTTATTACAAGAAAACAAAGTCCACATGGAGATCTCTATTATAAGGTCTTGGCACTAGCTCTTTTTTTTTTCCTTCTTATTTCTTAAAAAAAAAAAGAAAGAAAAATTACCTGTCTATCATAATGACTGCTTTTGGGTATTAACTCTTCTGAGTTCCCCTCTGAAATACCAGCTGTTTCTTTCTTCTGCATCGTGAGCGTGCTGATGCTCTTACCCAGCTGCGCCGGCACGATGAGCCTGCGTGGCCCTCCTAAAGCCGTAGCCCTGCACACACGTGGGGTGGTCGGGTGTGTTTCCCAGCCCTGAAGCCACGACCTCCTTCTTAAAAAGCAAATTTTCCGAAAGCATGTGCCCATCCTTTTCACTTGCTTGTTTTAGAAGTTGCTGTTTTAAACCAAACACGCTTGCAGTGAAACTTCAGCTGTCGCGTATTGCTGTGCAGACGAAGACACCTTGACCCTCATCCACGCTGGTTTGGGTTTAATCCCTTCGGTTTCTTAAAACTGACGAGACACGGAGTTCTGTGGGACCCCTCGGCGATCTGCCGCCCGTTGCTGGGAGGACGCGGCGCTCGCTGCTGCCAAAATCCGAGTCCTTCCCACATCTTAGGCATGAAGGCATATGCTTGGGGGTGGTTTCAGGAAGGGAGAACAACATGATTAGGTTTTTTTAACTTCCTCTTCTGTTTTGTTTCTCTGTGCATCTGCATTTCAGTTTTCGGGCTGTACCCGACTCTGTGCAAAACTAACAAATCAGCTGAAGCGCCCACTCATAAGGATCAGTCTTGGTAAAGAAACGCACTGAGGTAGTTAAAAGGCAGTAAGTATCTCTGTGCTAGCTTGGATGCTGATTTTTTTCTTCTTCTTTTTTTCTTTTTTTCTTTTTTTTTTAAATTCACAAGCACGGCTTTTTACGACTTACACAGTAGGGATTTGTCAGTAGCTTGCTGGCATTAATAGTCTATTTCAGCTCTTTTCTATAGCCCAGCAGCTAGAGGAGGGAGAAAGAGCATGCTTTGTGTGGAGCTGTGTTGTGATCTGTGCTGCACTGCCCATCTGAACGTGTCTGTGTCTTATTTTGTCAGCTTTTGCTTCGCTCTAGTAGGTGGTAGTCCCGTCTTAAACGTGTGACATCCCAACATATGATGCCTGTGCATGGATCAGGGTTGTGGCTGCCCTGACCAGTTCACTCGATGGTTTTGCTTCTCAGGCTCTTTACTGCAGACAAGCTATCTTTTGGGGGTTAATTTTTTGTCTGGCATTCTATCATTTGCTTCTCAGTTGATCTGCAGAGGGGTAGGACGAGGACAAAACATCTGGTGTGTGTAACCAGGAATACGCAGAGAGAGTTTTAGCTGTTGAAAAAGTGACTGGCATTCTTCGAAATGGTGTGGTTGTGTTTATTTGGGTGTGGATATAATATTTCTGTGATACAGTTCCTGCCGAGTCTGAAATGCTAGTGTCAGTAAAGCCAGAAGGGGAAGCCAGACAAAAGCTTGGATAAAAGTCGGAATTTCGTTGCCTCTAACTGATGGTTCATGGGAAAGTAGTGATTTTGTGTTCAGTTTTTGATTTTCGTAAAGCACTAGGCATGTGCTTTTTTGCTCTGGATAACTGTTTGTGGCTCTATATTTTACAGCCCACAAAGCGTCAGAAATGACTGATTGTTGTGCCTGAGTTTCACTCTCGCAGGTAGATCCTTATTACAAGCTCTGGGCCATTTAATGAAAATGGTGTTTGACTATAAAGCTTCAATTTTTCTGCTGTTAACCGTGGTGGTCTAAACTCTTTGTCTTTCTGAGTCCATGAAGCAGAGGGCACCCTCTCGTCCTGCCCCTGCAGTGTGTCCATCTTTTCCATTCTTTGCCTGGTGTAGAGCTCGGCAAAGATTTCTCCATGAAGACTGGAATGTGTTTATATAATATTTTATATGTTATTTTAGGCTCCTGCTTACTCAAAATGTAGGCAAATTATTAACCTTTCATTCGCCATCACTGGAGGAATCGTGAAATTGCTGGAGTGGCCGTCGAGTCAGATGGATCTCAACCAGCTTCTGCTTTCCCTGCCTGGAAGGTCACATCCCTCATCGCTTTCTCAGCGAGTGTAGCTGCCAGGTTAGGGCAGAGTTGCCTGGCCAGGAGCGTTTAGCAGCAACATTCAGTTGTAAACCACACTAGTTGAGCACTTATTACCTGAGCTGTGCATAAGGAAGTGCTTTTTTTTTTCACGTGGGAGTGTTTTTCCCTGGCAGATGCCAGAAAAAGGGGCGACATGAGAGGCTCCGTCCCCGTGGGAGCTCCAAGGGGTATAAACCTCTGGCCGGTGCCTCTGGCAGGCTGCGCTGTGGAAGTGCTGCTGGAGGAACGGAGCAGCAGAAGGAGCGTGGGGCAAAACTGCTGAAAAGAACAACCTGCTGCACTAAATCATGAATCCCCTGAGGAGGCAGCTCTGTAGTTAGCATCTTCAGATGGCTTTGGTCCCTTAGAGAGGAAGCAAACGATCTATAAAACAATACGCTGGCGACTCAGGCTTGCGTATTTGAGTTTTTTCCAGGGCTCTTTTGCTGTGTCACTCTTCCGTTTTATGTTCCAACTCAAAGGTGGCTGTTGTCTCACCATCAAAGTACGTGAAAGCCCTGGTAGTAGTGTCTGCTCCAAGGACAAGGAGGAGAAGGCAGCAACCTAGTGCGAGCAAGAGATACTGCAGGACGGTTTTGTTTTGGTGAAATCTGCCGTCTTATCTGTGTGTGATGCAAAGACCGAGGCGGTTTTCACAAGGCTTGGAGGCTTCAGGGTGGCATGTTTTTTGTCCTTTATGAAGTCCGCCACGTTACCCTGATTAGAACGCTAACGTAACTCCTGGCAGGGTCAAATCTTACCGCTAGCAGTGGTTTCCCCCCCGAAGCTTGATGCGGTGCTAACAGGCAGAAAGATCTCCTGCGTCCTGTTTGCACGGAGCTGGGAGGACAGCCTGTTCCATGGGCCGTGCCAAGGTAGTGCTGCAGTGGTATATAGGGTGAAGCAGCATTGTGTGTGCAGACAGGCTGTTGTGGAGGAGCATTAATTTATATTTTAACAGTGTTAGGAAGCTCCAGCTGCAGCAATGGCTTGATAATGTTAAGTTGTTATATATATTTATATATATGTTTTATAGATATGTCCATGTATGCATAGATGTGTGTGTATGTCTGTTTATTTTCTCTATCTTGGGGAAGGGTCCTCGTCCTGCTTGCCTGTGCTTCAGTCGCTGCTTTACTCGAACGTGGTCTTACCTCCCTCTGGTTTGTTCAGTTTGTAGGTGGCAGAGACGCAGTGAAGCTCTGTGCGGGGCGGGGAAAGCTGATGGGGGAGCCTTGTGCGTGACCCAGGATGGACTGGCTGTGACGGCGTGCCTTAGCTGGAGAGGTAGTTACCATGAAGAGTTCCTGCAGAGCTGGCCTCCACAGGGAACCGCTGAATTCCACATCCTCCACCTTCCATCAAGTCAAACGGTATGAACAGACTGCCTGGTCTGCCTTATTTAGCACTGATTTAGCCCCTCTCCTTACTTTCCTGTTGTCTTGAGTGGCAAATGTTTGGTCTAAATTCTTACTTCCAGGTGGCGTTCAAGTGAAATGTTGTAATGGCTTAAGGGCAGAAATGTTCTTTGACATTTTTATTTGATAGTGACAACTGCAGATTCGCTACAGCTGGTACTGTACTTGGAGAAATCTTGGGGTTTTTTAGCAACAGCTGTAAATTACTTTGGGAACGTAGCTTTGAAGTACAACTTAATTGGAGAATGGCTTGTCATAGTAGGCTTGAAAACGTGCAGTCAGCTTAAAGCAAGTGGAAATACTGGCAGTCATTGTTGCGGTTTGTCTTACTATGGAGTAAGTAATTAGATTAGTTTAAGCTCAGATTTTGTATTGCTTTCTCTCCTGTGTCTCTTACTAAGAAGTGCACGATTGATTTCAAACACTTGTGCTTATGTGACGATTAAGTGAACGCCTCTCACTGTCTCGTTATAGGAACACCGTACAGAACAACTTGTCCTTATGCAAATGCAAGAACATGCCAGTTTGTTTGAGTTCAAGCTACTTGAAAATATATGGGTTTTTTTTTTCTTTTTCTCAAATCAAGACTCTTTAAACTTCCTCCTTCTAGAGGAAGAGAGCCAGCTTTCTGGTTTCCAAAAGCCTTGTGGGTTTAAAGCAGACTTCCACCTTTGTTCTTTGTGGTTGTGCAGACAGCATCTACTTGCTGTGTTAGTCTCTTGGTAATTTAGTGCTGGAAAAGACTTCCTGGGTCACCCGACTCTTTGCCTTCCCAAGCACTATCTCATAATCCCTTTGGTAAATTTAGAAGTCTAGCCTAAAAACAATTATATCTTCTCCTCCTGTACATGAAGTACTGTGCAATTAGGAACTACCTTTTGATTCCCAGACTGAACGCTCATGCCAGCTTATACGCTCGTTTGAGCTTATCTTCCTTCTTCTTTTTCTTTTTTTTCTTTGGCACTCATTTTTTCAGCCGTTTACATCTTCTGCTGTATTCTGTAAGATGCGACTGTGCACCCTCACCTGTGGTTTTGCGTTGCTGAGTGACTCAAGTGTTATCTGGTAGTTTCTTGAGTAACGCCTGCGCTGTAGTTCTCAGCGTGGGTGAATTTCCTCGCTGAGTCAAGACAAAAAGTAGACGCTGCTCTCCAGAGCAGATCTGGCAGGAGAGCGTCTCACTGCTTCCTTGCATATATCACAGACTCACTTCCACGGCTTGCCTCTGTTTCACGGGTTTGTCTGTGGTGGCCAATACACCTTCCTTAGCTACCTCCAGAGCTTCTTGGTGTTCAGCTCGCTGGTGCATCAACATCTGCATTTCACAGCTCTCCTCGGTTTCCCTTCCTCGGTGCTTTGTGCCTTCCTTGGTTTGGAAATGCCTTCCTTTCCGTGGGTTCACCTGTAGTACTCGTGCTGAGGTCGTTCCTCACAAAATCGGAATGTTCCCCAGCCTGATTCTTGAGACATGTGGTTGGTTTTCAGGCTGATGTTTTCTTTCCAGGCATCACCTGGGTCTCTCTGCTGCTAATACAGCTCCGTTGTCGGTTTTCCCATTCTCCTGGCAATCTGTCTTAAACAGAAAATCTCCTTGTGCCTTCTGATGTAGTACGTCTTTCTGAAAAGATCACTTTTTTGAGAACCTTCACATCAAACTATCCTCCTTTTTTTCCTCTGTGTTGCCTTAATGCTCTTTGCTTGCAAAGCATCTTTATGTGGAAGTCAGACTCCCAGCCCTGGAGAGGCTGCAGTTTCTCTCCCTTCTCTTTCTGCCCTGCAGTGCCTCCTCCAATGCACCACATGTTTTATTAACTCGTATTGTTGCCCTTCGGGAGGTTTGTAAATCCTGCTTCTTGGCCTGCACTTTGAGTCTACCTGTTTTGCATTCTAAAACTGAAGATGAGCCACTCCTCCCAATTTTCATACAAAGCTTTTTAATCCTCCTCCTTGGTCAAATTAACCCCTGGGATTTTGCCCTCCTCATCACCCTTATCTCACTCCTCTTTAAAAATGATGCAAAGTCAAATTTAGTAGTTTGTGCTGTGCCTAGAGTACTCTTAGTCTCTGCCCTGACCTTGCTTGCAGCCTTATTTCTCTCCCTGTCCTTTCTCATGAACTGAAGAACCTTTTATTACTTCTTTTTTTTCAGTATCTTCTCAGTGACTTCATGCTGCGCCAAGTCTCGCGTTTTTTCCTGCTCTTTTGGATCTTTTAAGATACAGGTTTCCAAGTGGTGCGACCTGGTGACTTGAAACCCATGTCTGCTGCTTGTGTCCTTCCCGAAGAAGGGCCAAGTTTGTTTGGAGCTCCTTCTGTCCTTGTTTGAGATGTGTTCCTAATAATGAAAACACCTTTTTGACACCTGGAGAATGCCTGCTGGGCTGCGTGATCTGCAGTGAAATCCTCCACCCTGTAGTGCAGCCGACTTCTTCATGAACCAGTTCCTTTCGGTCTGGAGTTTCAAAAGAGCAACCTGAGGACTTGCTTTCAGATCTACTTTTTGCTTATTCTTTTTTTTTTTTTTTTTTTAACTCCAGGTCTTTTAACCATAGTGTGGTCTGAGGTTAATTTCTACAACCTTTCATGTGCTCTCATTAGGCGTGCACAGAAATGAGGACCGAATGCTTTGTGTTGGCTTGTTAGCTGGAGAGATTTGCTGCTCCATGATATTACTAAAGGTCTTGGTCTTCTTGCATTTAATAAATTAGAAAAGAAATGTTAAATCAGGACATACAAAACATTTCCGGGAGGAAACATGTCACTTATCTGTGCTGCTCCAGGCAACTTTCAGCAGAAGCCCTATAAAACCACATTTTATCTTTTTTCTTTCTTACTGTCCTTCTGTGATTTCTTCTCATCTCAGCCTGTTCCGCCACGGGCACGTGTGCTCTCCCATCACCATGAGCTACGTGTTTCTGGAGCAGCTTACAACCTTGAATAGCGGATCTTTCGGTTTATTTTGTTTCCCTCTGCTTTATGTCATCCCTGTGTCATCTGTGATGTGGCTGGGGAGCAGAGAGCATGGGTTTGAGCTTCCTCAGGCTCACCAACAAATTGCTTCTGCGCCACTCGCTCCACGGCGAGAGCTTTTCTGCAGAAGGCTGGCAAAGCGACGGCACTTCTTCCTGAGTCAAATTTAGAAAGTAGCTGAGGCCGCTGTGCTTTGTGCTGAGGGATGTATATATGTGTGTGTTAACTTCAAAATAGTGTTAAAAACTTATTAAAGGGTGGTAGTCCTGGAGTAGCCTGGGTGTTGGGCTTGGAGACGCAGTCTGTGACCCGAAAGCTCTGCTTGGTGAAGATGATGGGTTCTGGGCCTGAGGGATTTTACAGCTGCTCCTGTGTGCAGCTGGATTTGGATGTCATCACCCCCAGAGCCTGGTTATTTGAACACCAAACGTGAGTGACCAAGAGGTGAGGGATCCAACGTTAAGGATTAGGTGCCTGCTTTGCATTTAGCTCTTTTGGGCCAGCTCAGCCTGGTGTGTTGGGCTCGCTCCGGCTTTCCCCCAGGTCGGCTGCTCAAGCGGAGAGTGGCAGCTCGATATCTTCTGTTTGCCTTCAAAGCCCTCGATCCTCCTCGCTCGCTCTCCTGATTTGATGCGAGAGGCCGTCTGGCAGGCATTGGGAGGTGGGTCGGGAGCAGTCGCTTTAAAACACAAAGTCGCTGCTTTGAGGGAATGGGGGTTTCTGGAAATCTGGTGCCTCTGCAGCTGCTGAAGTCACCTCTGGTCTTGGAGCATCGTGCTTCCCAACCCGCCCTTCTCCGAGCCTGGACAGTCGCCATGCGCCAGAACAAGCTCCAGTGAGTAGCAGAATGTCTTCTCTCCCGGCTCTGCTTGGCCGGGACTTTCCCGCTCCGGCAGAATCCATGGAATGCCTTTGAAGCAGCTCTCGGTCTGCTTTGCCTTCCCCCGGCGCTGCAGAGGGGATGGAAGTGGTACCGGAGAGTGAACCCAAAGGACCCACCGAGTCCTTCCAGAAATAACAAGTGGTTGACCAGAGTTGAACTTGCAGTCGATGCGTGGTTCTTCCTAATTGTCAGTGTCCTTTTCAGAAGAGCTAAGTAATAGAGACGGAGAAATGGAATGCCAGGCAAGAGAAGTATCTTGCCAGAGGTTATGCTTGGTGTGGGACTGTATTGTTGTTGGTGTGGGACTTTATTGTTGTTGGGCTGGGGTTTTTTTTGGTGGTTTTCTTTTTTTTTTGTTTTGTTTTTGTTTTGGGCTTCTGCCTTGTGTCAGTATGTCCCGAGGGTTTGTTCAGAGCTGTAGCTGGCGCTGCACGCACAGTCAGCAACACGAGGAACTTCTGGTCGACTGGAGTTAGTGTTTACAAAAAGGAATCGGCAGGAAACTTTGGGAGGTTGATTGAAATTTTCACCTTTGATAAAACCTGCCGGTGTTTACACAGAAAACTCGCAGTGTGAATATGCTGTTGGAGCAGATTACACTTTTATTTTGTTTTGGTTTGGTTTTTTTGTTGTTGTTGTTGTAGTCGTTCTTGCTGGCCGGAGGAAATCTTCTGTCTTTGCAGGGCATCCTGAGAGTCCCTGGCCCAGGTGCAGCGAGGGCCATCCAGGCTCTTTGCAGACCTTAGACCTTAGAAAAGAGTTGTGAAATATGAGCCTTTTCTACTAGTTTTTTCTCCAACTTCAGAGCTTCCATTAAAACAAATTTTTTTTTTTTTTTTTTGGCTGCTGTGATTTGGAACATAAATGCAGAAGGATGTAAATTCTGGCTGGCTGGGCACAGTAGCTTATGGGTCTTCTCTTTGGATGAGAGAGGAGGAGTGTGTGTGTGTCTGTGCATGTATAAAAATAAGTATTTTTATATCAATCCTGTGTAGTGACTAACTTGATAAAACTATAGGAAACAAGCCGTAGTTAGGACTTGTAAAAACAGCAGTGTTGTTCCAGAAGTGTTAAGGATCCTGTTTTTCAGACACAGCTGATTAGAAATAGAAAAACTTCGGCCCTTTTTTTTTTTTTTTTTTTTTTGAAGGATGGAATAACAGTATAAAGGCAGCCATGCTCGTTGTTTCAGTGCCGATCGTTCCTGGCAGGATTCTCTCTTACCATCAATTCAAAACTGTGCATTTGGGATTGAAAAACCTTTCATGCTTACTCCGTGAACTTCTGAAGAGTCGTTGTCTCTAAAGATAAAATTAGAAGGCTTGATATCATAAAGGGTGGAGGAAAGCAAACAGAATTATCTGGAATTAAGCATCACAGGGAATTGGCAGTGACTTCATCTTTTAACAACTATTTTTAGTGTCTTTAAATATGTAAGAACTTACCTGCAGCTGCCACGATTCCCTGCTTGCCAGCACTGAGATGTTGCAGAAATCAGGTAGTCTGTGGGTGGGGACTGGGCTCTGGTTCATCTTCAAAGCAATTTCTGCTGGGAAGCCTTGTTCTAATTCTGGGAGCTGGAAATGAAATGTGCTGCTGACGTGCAGGGAAGAAGCTGTGTTTGCCTAAAAGTTCGTTGGTTCTTAACGTTCCCAGCAAAGTGTGTGGAGTGAGGGCTCCTTTTTTGTCCAAGCGACACTGTCAGGTAAGGTCCATTAATAATAACCCTTCTCAAATGGAACTTCTCTTCCCTGAAAAGAGAGAGACGGGTGGCACTGCGATTCAGCTGGTCAGGTAGAGGTAACAGTACTCTTTGTAGCTGTCTGAAGTTATTAAATGAAGGTTTTCTCTAAATCTGGATCCATTAAAACAGTGCAATGATCCGAATGCCAAATTCAAATGAGGCAATTACTCTGGCAGTAAAACTTCTGACTAAGGCATAATTTTGTTATGTAAATCATAACTTTTTAACCTTAAATGGTATTGTTGGCTGAGCCTAACTGAAACACAGGAGGAAATATAACCTTAAAGGAGAAATCTCTAATAGGTGAGGCATAACTCTACCCCTTTGTCTTTCTCCGTAGACCAGAAATAGCTGGGAGCAGCTGAACCAACTTTGCTGGCTAAACGTGTCCTCTGAGCACGTCGGGGTAACCAGTTTGGTCCTGTTCTCATTCGGGTAATACCTGGTCTCGCCTTCATTTGCAGCTTCTCTTAATGAAGGGTGTTGAACTGATTGTCCTGCTGGATTCCTGAAAGCTGCTTGAAGAAAGCCTTTTAAACCCCACGTTTGGCTCGTCTTTCAAACGCCCTGGCGTGAAAACTCATGAATGAAATCTGATCTTGCGCTCCTACCTCATGAGATCTCTACATGCAAAGTTGTGCTTTTAATTGCGTTCACCTCTTGTCCCCAGGGTACAGCGACGGGCAGCCATCGGGCCTTTTCTCTCTCTCTAAGTCTGAAAAGCACGGCTCCAAAATCCCGTCCTGGCTGGGGAAGGGAGGGAGGGCTGCAGGCACCGTTCTCCGCAGTGCCTCACCTGCTGCTCTTCCATGCTGGCCACTGGTCCTGTTGTGTTGGTGACCTGATCCTCGTTAGCTACAAAGTGCCACCGAGATGAGGCAGACCTCACAGAAAATGAGGCCGAAGCAGACTTACAGCAGCCTTGATTTCCCATTCCCTCTTCATTCATCTGTTTCAGCACCCCAAAGTTCTATTTTTGTCAGATTATTTTAGTTTTTAGCATCCAACCAAGAAGGCAAACAAAATAGCTCAGTTGCATTTTGCAGAGGAGTCTAAATTGGGAGGTGACCCAGTTCCAACAAGAGCTGGAATTAGCACGCAGAAGGCAGGGGGGGAGAATTAACCCAGGGACTAGGTAGGCGTATCTGCAGTGGTGGGAGCTCTCGTACCCCCGCAGTCTGTAGGTGAAGCGCAGATGTTTTTAGCACCATCTGGTTGAAAAAGCGAGTTGGTGATCTTCCTGTAAAATCAGGAGTGAGGAGAACGTAGAATCACGGAATGGTTTGGGTTGGAAGGGACCTCAAGATCATCTCATTCCAACCCTGCTGCCACGGGCAGGGACACCTCCAGCTAGACCAGGGTGCTCAAAGCCCCGTCCGACCTGGCCTTGGACACTTGGGCCCCTGGCACAGCTTCTTACAGAATCACAGAATGTTCGGGGTTGGCAGGGACCTCTAGAGATCATCTAGTCCAACCTCCTGCCAGAGCAGGATCACCCAGAGCAGGTCACACAGAAATACGTCCAGGCAGGTTTTGAAAGTCTGCAGAGAAGGAGACCCTATGACCTCTCTGGGCAGCCTGTGCCAAGGCTCTGTCACCTGCACAGGGAAAAAAATTTTCCTTATTTTTTTTTTTAAACTACTTGTGCTCCAGCTTGTACCCATTGCCTGTACCCATTGTACCCTTGTACCTTGCCTGTACCCTTGTACCCATTGTCCTGTCATTGGCCATCCCTGAGAAGAGCCTGGCTCCATCCTCCTGACGCTCACCCTTTGCATATTTATAAACGTTTATGAGGTCACCCCTCAGCCTCCTCTTCTCCGAGCTAAAGAGCCCCAGCTCCTTCACCCTTTCCTCACCAGGGAGATGTCCCATCCTTCCATCATCCCTGTCGCTGCGCTGGACTCTCTCAAGGTCTCTCTTGAGCTGAGGGGCCCAGAACTGGACACAATATTCCAGGTGCAACCTGTTCCCACTGTCAGACTCGGCTCTCCATTCTGCTGGTGGTAACTCTGGCGGGTCTGCAGCCCTGGGGCAGGCCTGACTGGAAGGTCCCAAAGCTTCTCGCCAGGATGCTCATGTGTGTTCTTGGTCAGATTCTGCTGTTAGCTCTTCCCTCTTACAGCCATCCTGTGCCCTCTGCTGGGGGGGCCTGCTTGAGGGGTGGGCGAGCCAGGTGCCCCGCTCCTTGTGTGGGGACCCCAACAGGTATCCTGCATCGGTGAGGGCATCTCGAGGTGAGTGGGTGTGTGTCCTTGTGACACTGCAGCACGGCCGGGGAGGCTTCTGTCTGATACAAACCTGTCGTGTGCCTGAGCTGCAGGTGTTACAGCTGTAAATCCGTCCGACTTCACAGATGTCAGGCTTGAGGGTTTTAATTAAAAACTGATTTTAAGCTAGAAACGCAGTACCAAAACAACTGTTTTGGTGGTGGCTGTCAAGGGAAATATTCAGTGCCCGAATGTGACCGTATCAGCTCATGATAAATGGTATTGAAGCTGCCGTTCTCAAACCAGCGAGCACAGATTATCCCTGTTTCGAAAAGGAGGCCTTTTAACGTAACAATTCAAAGATTACCATGGAAACATAATCTATAGTTAGTTCTGTAACATGCTTACGTGATGCTCCTGGGGAGAAGAGCCTGAAGTCTCCTGATAATTGCATCCTAGGTGGCAGTGCCCTGAGCTTTTGCGTTTTTAGCTGTGAATTCAGATCACTGCGAAGGTGTAACCGAAAGGAGGAGTCGAGTGGCTGCGACTGTCGCAGAAGTGGTGCTGCTGCTGCAATGTCAGCGGCATCCAGGTGTCTCCTTCACAGCTCTTGAATTTTTAACCTAAAATCACACACTTGAAAGTGGTTCCCTTCAGCTTTACGTGACGGTTCTGTCACTTTTGAGGGGGGCATCTGATGTATAGCAATAAGGACCCTTGTGGGAATGTACACCAAGTATACCAGTATTGATATGCTGAGGGATAGATTTAATCTTGGGTGGTATTAGAAGATTAGATATCTGCTGTGATCTCTGAATGTAATTACACTGGCTAATTTCCCTTTTTAGCTTTAACTGTATCTACCAAAAAGAATTTATGTAAATAGATGTATATACGTATATCTCGGGTATAAGATAAACCCATTGACCCACATGAACCTTACAACTGGATCAAGAAGCGGATGAACAGAAGGATTGCTCGACCGCTGAAATGAACCTCTGGTTACATTTGTGGAACGGATAGACCGTCAAGTTAGGATTTCTCCTTTCAGCTGCCCAGAAGCAGATTTCTCTAAGGGCAAGATCTCTGCTATCCTTGAGATCATAATCCTGTAGCAAGAAGTTCTCCGCGGGTGGATGTCGCAGCCTGGTTGCTGTTTTTCCTTTCTCACGTGGTTCCTTTTGAGGCGTGGGCTGCTTGACGTAGAGTCGGAGGTGTGCTGGTGCCTGCTCTGGGCAACCTGCTCTAATGCTAGGCAAGGCAACTTTTGCAACTATAACTTCTCCCCTTTCTCTTTTTCTAGGGTTTCTGGTATGCACTTAAAGCCATATCTCAAGCTACAGAAGAAAGAGCGATCTCCAGAAATAAGCCAGGATTCCCTGAGGGGCCCACCCATGAGTCATCAGAGATCAATGCAAGAAGAAAAATACACCAACAACTGCACCAAACTGAGCGTTTTCCCGAAACCCTCCCTCGTGACTCCATCTCAAAAGCTTGTAGGGTTTATTTATCCAAATACTATGTGCAATATGAACGGGAAAAGTCCAGCGGATGGTCCAAGCGCAAGGGAGAAGAAGAACGCCCTGACCGCAACGATCCACCAAGGGGAAGAAGGGGAAGGGCCTCTGGATGTCTGGGCTGTGGTGAAACCCGGCAACACCAAGGAGAAGATCGCGTTCTTTGCGGCCCAGCAGTGCAGCGGCAGCAACCGGCTCGGCTCCATGAAAATTAAAAGCACGTGGGATATCGATGGGAGAACGGCGAAACGCAGGAAAAAATCGGTCGATCTTAAAAAAGCCAAAATTCAGCTGGAAAGAATGAGGGAGGTGAATGTCAAGTGCTCCCAGCCGGAGCCGTTTGCCTGCGGCATCGAGCACTGCTCGGTGCATTACGTGAACGACAACGGTGACGGCGTGTTCCCGGGCCGGTCCCTCTCGGTGATAGAGATGGTGGCCTTTCTGGAGCAACGAGCAAGTGCTTTACTGGTGGACTGTGCTAAAACCTGCGCGCCTGCTTCCGCCACAAGGCTGAGCACTCAGCCTAAAGGTGCCCTTCCCAGTTCAGACCCTTTCTCCTCTGCCGGGGCGTGTGAGGCCCACGCCGAGAGGGGGGGACCCTGCGGCAACAGCGAGCAGCAGAGCGAGCCCGTGCGCGTGCTGGACATGGTGGCCAGGCTGGAGTCGGAGTGCCTGAAGCGGCAGAGTGAGCGGGAGGCCGGGAGCCTCTCGCGAAACAACAGCTTCCGCAGAAACGTCGGGAGGGTGCTCCTGGCAAACGGCACCCAGCCCGAGGGAGAGGCGGGGAAGGTCTTCTCGGGCATCCCAGCGTCAGAGGATGGTGAGGAGGAGGAGGAGGCACGGGTAGCAGAGGTTGGATATGGGGGACGGTGCAGTCCTCTTGGTGACACCGAATTGTGGGATGGCGCCGGCTCCATTCGGCAGCCTTTTTCTTCTGGGCTGGATACTCGGATGGGGAATGTGAATTCGGGGCTCGCTCACGCCGTGTTGGCCATAACCGCTGGCAGGAGCGATTCCAAAATGCAAATTGAGCCTCCCAGACCTCTGCCGTCCGTGTGTCCAACCGCTGCCAGGTTGCCGCCACCGGGTTCCTTGCAGAGCAAGAATGTGACCGTTGATTGTATGTCGAAAGAGCCTGTAATTTTCCCGAAGCAGAGCTTGCATCCTGCTAGGAAGGAGCCCTTGTGCATCAGCATTTCAGTCACCAAGACTGAGAAGGGATGCAGGAAAGAGAAGCTCTCAAACTCCAGTTCTAGTGAAGATCCGCTCCCAGGGAGGCTGTTCTTCCTCCAGGCTGAGCAGCCTCCCGCTCACGAGCAACAGCCGCTACGGGAAGGTACCCAAGGGAAGGCAGGAGAAGGAGCCCGGAACGAGGATGAGGATGCTTTGGCATCTGACAGATCGTGCGTGAGAAACGGTGTCCCTACAGAGCCATCTGCCCTTTCTGCTCCTCCCGCGGAAGGGGCTTTGCAAGTACTTGACGCTTCCTGCTTAAAAAAGCAGGTTTCGCATGACTTTCTGGAGACCAGGTTTAAAATCCAGCAGCTTTTGGAGCCTCAGCAGTATATGGCCTTCTTGCCTCACCACATCATAGTGAAAATCTTTGGATTGCTTCCTACCAGGAGTCTGGTTGCCCTAAAATGCACTTGCTACTACTTCAAATTCATCATCGAGTACTACAACATCAGGCCAGCGGATTCCCGCTGGGTCCGCGATCCCCGTTACCGAGAAGACCCTTGCAAGCAGTGCAAGAAGAAATACGTGAAAGGGGACGTCTCGCTATGCCGGTGGCATCCCAAACCCTACTGTCAAGCTTTACCCTACGGGCCCGGGTACTGGATGTGCTGTCACCGGTCTCAGAAGGGCATCCCAGGCTGTAAGTTAGGTCTTCACGACAATCATTGGGTTCCTGCCTGCCACAGCTTTAACCGCGCCATCCATAAGAAAACCAGAGGAGCAGGAGCCGAAGCGGAAGAGGAATATTAGTGCACACACACTTTCCTGCGAGGTCGTTCGGGGTAGGAGTTGATTCTCATGCCTTGTGCTGTTTACAGTGTACATAATTGTCGTGGTTTTGGGCTTTTTTTTTTGGTTGTTTTGTTTTTTTTTCACAGGGCTATGAAACTGCACATACTTAAAACACAAGAGCCTTTACCTTTTAGATTAAAGACAGCTTTTAGTCCATCTATGTAAATAACACTACAAAAAACTAATTGTACATACAGAGTCTACAGCTGGCTGAACAACGTAATCACTACAATGCAGCTATGATAGTGTTGCGGCTATAGTTGTGTGTGTTTTTAAGTGTCTTGTTTGAAAATCTGTATATCCTGTATAATATATGAGTGTTTCTGAGAAGAAACTCTAAATAGGTAAAGGTCAACTTGTTTAAAGAATCTTCAAACAACTTAACTGGACAACCTTAAAATTAGACTAGAACAGATCCATTATAGTAGTGTGGCAGTGGAAAAAAAAAAAGAGAGGAATATTATTGTATAGTCAGAATATAAAAGAAAGAAAAACAACCCTTACCCGTGCTGTTGTTTTGGGTTGGGTTTTTTTTGTTTTGTTTTTTTTTTGTTTTGTTTTGTTTTGTTTTTTTACTTAAATAAAACGTGCATTCTAGATCTGCCTTACCAGACTTTCTCTTGTAAGACTTTTGCCCCCAAATAAAAATAATGTAAAACACGCGCCAGAAACTTGGTACTGTGGTGTAGTTCAGCCTGTGCTGCGTGCTTCTTGTAGAAAATTAGTTCTGCTACTCAAAAAAAAAGAACAAAAAAACTCGGAAATGTTCACAGATTCCCATTTTTCCTTTCCCTCCCCTCAGCTGGGTGTGCAGCAGAGGCTTGGCCCAGGCTCCTGGGTGTTTGAGGATGGAGTGGGGGTCTGGCAGGGCGAAAGCAGAGTCGGCTCAGCGCTGTGCTGGAAGCTTTGCCTCCCGTCTGTGTGGAATTCTGGATATTTTTTGCCTTCCTTTTGCTCTGCTCTGTTCCGGTACCTCGTTCCCGAGCTGTGAGTCGGGACTTGGAAAGCACCGTGAACGTTTGTGGCAGGAGCGCAGACGAAGGGCACTTCCTCGAGCTCCGAGGGGCAGCTGACCCTGGCACCTCCGAGTATTTCTTGGCAGACTGAGGTGCCTGGTTGGAAGGCTGGGGAGCTGTGCTGGGCAGCCCAGCTGGAGCCCAGTTCAGCCGCTGGGAGCAGAGCCCGCAGCAGCCTTTTTGCAGGAAGCCAAAGGGAGAGCAGCAGTTTTGCCTTTCCCTTGCCCAAGTCCCTTCTCTCCCCACCGCTTGCTGCTGTTGCTGCTCCTCTGCCTTTTCTCAGCCCAAGGATGGGCTCTGCGGTTCGTCAGCGCGGCTGGAGCGGACAAAAGCCCAAGAGGAGTTGGTGCCGCCTTTCCGTGGGCTCACCCCAGCCCCGGGGGAGCAACAGGGCCAGGGCTCTCTGCGGGAGCAACGTCTGGATGGGATGGCCGGGTCTGGATTCAGTTTTCATCCTGTTCTCTAACCTTTGGAGCAAGATGAGCGAGGTGTGGATGGGTGAGGAGAGCTGCTGCGGGGGCAGGCGCAGGCACAACCCCTCCGCCTCCCTCTGCTTCGGATGCCTCAAACCACGGCAGGATCGCGTGGAGTTATTTTAGAGCGTGAGGACGGAGAGGTTTCAGCTGCTCTTCTTTCCGTTACCAGCAAGAGACAGAAAACAGCCCTTAGAGCCTGAAGTGTGGGTTGGGTAAGCTCAGAGTGTTCATGGTCTGTTTAAAGGGGATGAGATTTTATTTACTTTTTCCCCCAGTCCTTGCTTTACCTACTGCCTGAGCCCTCCCTGGTGCTGCGGAGCCGTCTCTGCAGACACGATAACAAGCGGGAGGAACGAAATTAGAAATCTAACAGAAGGGTGTGGCTGCCTTGCAATCGGCTGCGAAGAGGCAAAGCTGGATCCCTCCTTCAGTCGTGACTTTGATCCGCTCCCTCGCCTGCGCTGGGACGAGCAGCAAAACAGCTTTCTGGCAGGAGCTGTCTTGCCAAAGCCATCAGCACCAAAGGCCTTCGGCTTAATTTCAATTAAGGAAGAGGGGGAAGAAACCGCTTTCCTGCCCCACGCCCAAGACTCTGGAAAACTTGAGATAACCCGCGCCAGGCTGACAGCAGCGAGGATAGTCCTGGCGAGGCTGAAATAGAAGCGTCGGAGGAAAATATTTTGTAACTAGATAAGGGGCCAGTGAGGTCATTTCGTTTGGACCGGGGTGTGAGATTTTTGGTCACCTTCGTTGAACAAGGGGAAAAAAAAGGAGAATAAATTAATTGCATCGGGCTGTTTTGTTCCTTGGAGCTGTTGTTGACTAGAGAGGACAATTTGCTCCCTACCTTACTCCATCCCCACCCCTCCCTACCCCAAGCTGGCTGAGGAACATGAGCTGTTTTATACATCATTTAGTACATTGTTTGCTGGAACTAGCCCTGTCGCATGGAATTGCTGTTAAAAATTGTTTTACAGAACAAACTTTTGCATCCAGAAGTGGGTTGGTTCGGTGTGTGTAGCCATGTTAAGCTGCCGGCAAGCTTTTGCTTTTCTTTTTTCTTCCCATAAAGTGCAGATTCCTGGCTCCGTAAGGGCCAGTTCAGGGAGAACCCAAGACTTTTTTTTTTTGTTCCTAAGAGGCAATCAAAATAAACCAGTCCAGTGCTACATTTACAGAATTCAGTGTTCAGGAGAACTGAGGACTAAAGCCTGTACTCTGTGCTTCTCTGCCCTGCCTGGAAGTGTCTGGACTGAATTTCCAGATACGCCTGTGAAGAAATTATAACATTTCCATTGCTCGTAAGCTTGCAGTTTTCAGCAAGCTTTGGGAGGGGGGCTCCCGACATCGACATCACCAAGAAAGGCTTGTGGTTGGGCTCTCCTTCCTTTCTGCCTGTTGCTAGAGCAGCTTTGCTCCCTGCAACGCTTTCTCCGTGCCCAGCTCCCTTGCCCTGCCCCTGATGCCGCATCCGACCTCCGTCCTGAGTCCCACTTCTCGCAGTGTGGGTCTGGTGCTGAACCCTCCCGCTCGGCTGCTGCTTCCCCCCAGCCCGTGCTCAGCTCATCCCGGCAACCCTGGAGCGGTGACAGGACTTGGGATGTTACGGGGCTGCTCTCCTGCCACGACCCAGCATTGGCAGAGGATGAAAATCACCCGCTGTCAGCATAGCTTAAGCAGAAGTGACCCAAGATGGGAATCACAGCGCATCGGTCCTCCCCAGCAGGTAGCTGCCACACAAAGTAAAAAAAAAAAGGCAGGATGGCTGGTTTCCATCACACAAAGCAGTAAACTGTGGCCTGCCAGGTCCCCCAGGCAGAGCTTCCTTCTTGCTGACAGCCGTGGTCCTTCCCTGTTGCTCAACAGTTGGCTTCAGAAGTTGCCTCCTTCAAAAGACACGCGTCCTTCTGAAATGTCCTTGCAAAGAGGAGCACCTGGCCTTGCGTGCGGGAGTCATTCCGGCTCAGCCCCGCCAGAAAAAGACGGCACCCAGGAGAGGAGCAGCCCGGAGCCGGGCTCACACGAGAGATTGAGCCGTTTACATGTGCATAGAAGGATATGTGTGCATGCCTGTGTGTTTTCCAAGATTCCTCCACCTGCTCCAATGGAGATGCAGCTGTTTTATGTAAAAGTATTTTTTTAGACTCAGTATTGCTTATGCCACCACTGTACGATTGCACTGGAACAGGTCTGGTCCCTGTGCTGCTTTCAAGGCTGGAAATTCTCGTGTACTGCCACAGCACGGTTGAAAAACACAAAAAAGAACAACACAGAAGTAACAATTATAAATACGCAACTTTAAAAAAACCTTACTGTTAAAGATTTATTGCAATAATACAATAAAATTTAGAAAAGAAAAAAACAACAACAAACAAACCCCCAAACCATTTGTGTTTAGTTACATCTAGTTTGGAAGTTGCAGAGAGGGGCTGGGAGTTTTTGCAGGCGACGAGCGACCCTCGGGTGTCCCGGCCGAGACCCGCGAAGGCGCCCGATCTCCAGCGCAGGGCTGGGCTCTCGCCATCCTGCTCGTCCTCGGCAGCTCAGATCGGCCACCCCAGGTCACCGCTCACGGACAAAAGTCCCGGCCTAAACCGAAATTCCTGCATTCACGCTATGCAGAGTGTTTTGTAAACTCTGACCCGGCTGTCTTCAACTCTATAATTACAGATATTCCTGCCCTCCCGCCCCTAAAACAACCTGGAAAACTAATCCTGGCGATTGCACTCAAGGTTTGGACACACACGATTCTTCCTTAGCTACACATGTGCAAAACACTTTAAAAACAACCCACCACGATCTGTGTTCTGTTACAAAACCCGTTTGTGAAAAGACCCATGCTGATGCATTTGAACACCCTCGTGGTGCCGTCGTGCACTTTCAGAATATGATGTGGTTGCAAATAAATTATTTGGAAAACATGATGAAGTCTATGGCTTAAGAAGGTTCTTTTTTGTGTGTATGTGTGTGTGTGTGTGTGTTCATGAAATGCACAATATAATGACAGCGTACAAAGCTGAATCTTGGCCTGACCTTTAAGGGGCTCAAAATAGCACAAAGGCAGCAATGAAAGAGCAACTGAAATGTGGATTAAAAACAAAACAAAAAGATAATTCGGATGGCGGGGTCCAGTGCAAAATAAACGGGGAAGCAGAAGGGGCCGTGTGATGCCAGGAGCCCAACGTAGAGTAACCGCCGAGCGCGGGCTGGTTGCTCAGACACGGGGACGGCGAA